ACTAAGTATTTTCGTATACTTCGCAGTCTAATTTTATTGTTTACTAGCAGCTCACCTCTAGAAAATCAAAAACATATCTATCCCACGGGAACCGTTCATTTTTCATTATTTAATTATTTTTTTAATTATTCATTTATTTCATTATAGTAAAATTTCATTAAAATCCATTTAGTAGCTTTTGTATGAAAGAGTAACAAACATCCATATATCTACACATACATCCGCACAGACTTTCGCAATTATAATATTAGTAGAATAGCAGGATAATATTAGTAGGATTAAAAAAAATTAAGTTCACCCAGACATGACAATTATTTTTATCTATAATAGTTCAAGCTATCGACATGGCAATAAGCTGAATTATAAATTAATCGTCATAAAAATGCATTTGTTCAATAGTAGAAAGATTGTTCATGCAAGAAATAATGTATGCTTAAGCTATAAAATTATTGATTTATACATTAAACGAAAAGTATAATATACGTTTAAGTAATAAAATACACACAATTGTATGTTACACCAGTGTAGTCTAATCTTTACACATAATATCTTATAAAATAAATGTCTAGAAATGAGTCATAAATTAGTATATGAACAGAACATGCACAGATATACGACTAAATTAAATAATATATTTCAAATAAACACCTATTCTAATAGAATAAAATATATGCAAAATATTATTTTTTACAATAATGTGCACCTACTACATACCAGTTAGTAAATATTTTTATGATTTTCTAATAAATAAAAAAACAAATCCAGAAAATTAAGTAGTAGGCATAATATACTGCACGAAACCGGTATAAGTAGGTAAAACAATCTTTACATAAGACACTGAATAATCAATATCATACTTTCTATTTTTTAAATGTGCTGTATACGTGCATAAACCCCCCATGTAAGGGACCAAATATATAAAAAAATATAAAACAAAAACTAGTAAAACCAGGTTAAAAACCATATGAAGTCATTAAGACAATTTTGTCTCACCGTGTGTCTTTAACATTAAAGTTAAAACACCACACGTAGAAAGTCTTATGTCTACGCCTAACGAATATGTAAAATATTCAAATTAGTAGTACCTATTGACATTATAAATTCCAAATCAGTAATAAATTTAACTTTATTGGAATTTGGACATTAAATAAAATTACATAATGTGATAAAATAACTAATTAGTACAGATAACGCTTTTTATATTACTTTAGCAAGCAAGCATAATTTCTATATTTTTAATTATAACAAGTAGGTACTTAGTTCTGAATTTATTTGCTATAAAAAGGTTTTATTATAATAAAAATTATCTTATTTAATCTAGCTAGCTACATATTGCTATGCTTTAATACAATCAATATTTATTATAAATAATTTTTAACAGCCTGTATAGTAAGTGACATGACACCGCAATTATCGACTGCGACCTAAGACCATGTTCGTGTCTCACGGTTTGTACAATTGGACACCTAAATATAAAAAAAACATTAGACAGAGATTACACTCAATAATAAACCATTTCAAGACCTAAATTCTACTAAAACCAATATCATAATGTCTTTTAGTGTATAAAGTTTTAGATAAGTATAATAAAAAAAACCGCTCGTATTATAGACACAAATGACTTCACTTGATTTTTGAAAATTAAGCACGCTAAGCTTTTTCTAATATCAAATTTCAAAGTGAAACTGTAGAATAAAAATTAAGTTGTTTAAAAGCTCAAGTTTAAGCTTCTCAATTACTTATTCACGATAACTATTAGGTATATTAATCGAAACTGGCAGTTGTAATAAACATACGCATTCCATCTATAAAGGAAACATAATTCATTATATAATAAATAAACTAATTGCTTCAAACGCCTTCTTTGTTTTATTCAAACGTTTGTAATATACGTACATGTTGCCAATTAGAGCTCCTTCAGGAGGAACATTTAATACGTCCCGGAACAAATGCATATCGTAACATTTGCACGACTAAGGTAAGTATTATAAAACTTGTAATCTATTATTATTTGAAAATATGTAACAATGGAGTAATGGATGGAGTACATAGTTTCTTATAAATTAAACAATTCAAAATTAATTAATTTGAGTTAAGAAAATGTTTTAAAGCCATAAAAAACTGTATAAACAAAGTTTACAATGCAAAAAAAAGCTAAGTACAGAGTTATAGACAACGACATGTCTATGCAATAATCCACATATGGTCTGAGAACATAAATATAATAACAATCATATTAACACATGGCGCTAATCGATTTACCACATCCTATGAACTTCCGCAATGATGATATCAGATACTTAGATATTTCATATTTACTAATATATAAGACATGTTCATGTGTTTGTTTTTCCATTAAAACCTATACAGTTTTTTCCACATACCTTTAAAACAGGTAGTGAAAGCTATTTTACCGCGTACCGTGGAAAAGCAAAGTAAAGAGATTTTATATGCATAAATATATGCAATAATATAAAAAATATATAACTCTTAATTGAAAAAAAAATACATATTCATATTTTTTTAATTGTTTGATACCTAATAAGTATTTAACGTAACTCAAAGAAAGAACTAGTTGTGTTAAAAATCCAAGAAAGACGCTAATAATATTCATATCCACCTGTTTTGAATGAAACATTGTTTTTATAATGGAATTATTTTAAACCTTTCTTATTAGAAAAAACTTATCGAACACGAATAAAAATTACAAGCATTATAATTTAGTAAAAACATTACTAGCAAATAATGTAATTTCGATTAGTTTATTCGCAATAATTCGATTTTTTACTTCACTAATGTTCACACAAACACAATAACGTTTCTTCTACACACGTATTAATAAGAATTAGTTAACAATAAAAGTAAGAGATAAAAGAAAAATACGAATGTACTACGTAAGTATATAATTATTTAGCATTTGACATATCGATTAATTGATTAGATTTGCAACATTTAACATTATTTTACTGGCAAAATTTTATCAAATAAGATTAATATAAAAATTTAAAGTCTAAAAAGGTATGTTGGAGTATGTATGTCTGTTATGGGTATTTCATAAACATCTATTTTATAAAAGCTATGAAAGTGAAATCCAGATTATATGAAATATAAGTCAAATTGACTAAACAGTTCCGTAGTTTTTTACGACACGCAATATATGTACATATGTATACAAGAACTGAGTACTAAGAAAAATATGTTTGTATTAGAAATAGTTAAATGGTTTACACAAATAGGTAATCACCGTAATTAATCTATGTATGTATATAAAATCAATTGACGTTCATTAGTCTCGCTAAAACTCAAAAACGGCTGGTAAATTTGAATATTTTTTTTTTGTTTTGTGGGAGGTGTGTCAGGGGTGACTTAAGTATAAAAAGATAGGGCAAATCCAAAAAAAAAACAGATGAAAAATCGAAAAGTCCAGAACTGTTTATTTTGTTCTTATGTACATATAATATACATATAGTCTATCATTCCATACTAACCGTTAAAACGTACCTACCTAGCTATAACCCGAGTGAAGCGAGGGTGAGTCGCTAGTATAAAATAAAAGTTATTTTTGATAATTATTGCGTTTAGGATAACCATTTCGCTTAACACATAACGTTTTTTATATCATTCTATTAAGAAGCAAAACTATCAGAATGCTAAGAAGATTATCTAGTGAACAGACGAATTTATTGAAAGGGGTCAAAGAACCTAAGAGGGAGGCATTAATTATACATTTCTGCCCTACTAAAATAAGCTATCTTAACACTGAAGACTAAATGTTATATGTTCAGAGTTTAAAATTTCTTTACAAATAAAAAATAAACTAAATTCAATTGGCGACTTACTACCATTATTTCCTTTAATTTTTAAGAATAGGTACATAATTGATACAAGATCTAAGTATTTTATTTCTAGTACCTAGTACTACAATAATATTATAATGAAATTTAAGAACTTTCCGTATTTCGAACAAGTTCAGCATTTTTGTAATATTTTCTTTATAAATAATTTTACATACCTAGTTAAAAAAATCACTTCCCTAATACAAAGATACGCGTCAGCTAAATTAACTATTTTGTGCTGTACATTTACTATTTTTTAACACAATTTATTAGAAATAAAATTAAGTCTTATAAGAAAAAATTACACGTAATTTCAACATACCCAATATCAAATATCTAGATTATAACAACAAACGAAAAATAAATATTACTCGACTATATCTTATTTATTAAAACAAAATATCTGACAGTTTTAACTTTTAACTAAGTGTTCTTATTTGAAATCCACCATTGTATCAATCATTCAGAGAGCTCAAAAAACATCGAAATCGAAAAAAACCATTTAACAAAAGAGAATCTCAAAGGGCTGAAGGGTAAACGCAGTAATTGACACTCATCAATCTATAGAACAAAACGATGCGGCCGCCGCACTTGCACCGTGTGTAATAAACTGCTCATTTAATTTATATTTAGAAAATATTTTAGCACTTGAATTTTAAGTTTCATTGTATGTTACTCATTTGTTGTATTTATTTATTATAATTATAATAATAATTAATTTGAACTTAAATATACTGATCTGGTTCACACAGAGTTGATAATTCACTTATCTTTTGCGTGATTTAAAAATTACTAAGATGTAGATATGAATTTTCTTATAACGATTGTTATTATTTAAATTGGATTTAATTTTATATAAAATTATTCCATATTTCAAAAAGAAATTTCTAACTTACAAATATAAAACATTAATAAAAGTTCACAAACACAAATGAAATAGTCATTTTATAATCCGTATAATAATTATTCTAGAAATATACAGTTAATTTAATATTAACTATTAAATTCACTTTTATTTGTAAAAAGTATTTCTAATAAGACTCAAGTTTGTAAGTTGAAGTGAAGTGAACAAAATAAAAATATTTGTAAGACCTGACATAAAACCTCCTACAGCTGCAATTAATATTTAACACTTGTAAATAAAAATAAAGCATAAATACTTACAGAAATAAAATCACACTTGATACATTTTCTCAGCGTCCACAACACAAAGTCAATATCACCAGAACTTAGTTTCACACACAATGTCAACCAAAAACAGTACGAAAAATAAACGTCAAAACACCACAATCGTTCACTTTTTGGCGGTAAAAGCACAGATTGAAAAAATCACAATCGATGTTCGATCGATATTATTATTATCGGTTTGCGATCCGATTAGTTATTACGTAAGGGTTTCGGAGCGTAGTCGCGGGCGCGCGTCGTTGCCGCGACAGACGACTGCAGTGCGATCCTTCGTTTGAGGCCCCACTACGCGCATCTGAGGCTCCTTGGCGCGGCCCCGCCCAGTGGGACGCCACTCGGTGACTAAGATCACCGTCTCTCTCCTTGTTGCACGCACACCGCTCCCCTCACCGCGTCTCGCTCGTTCGCGGCGACAGTGGGGCGCGCCAATAGGATCGGATCGAGTCGAGACGATGAATCGAGATGTGTACTTAGGTATCGCTGCACAAGTCCTTTTGTTGTAGTCGATAATAGGATGCGCTTTTTTTTGCGCCGCAATCGACTGCCCACTCGGACTTGGTGACATTTATTTGTTTACGTTACCAACTAGTTCTTTTAAATTATTTATTTAATTTTCTTTAATTCACAATGGTTTTAATTAATGCAGTTCGTAAAGTGGATATAAAATAGAGTTTTTACAGTTCTAAACACTTCCGCTTGGACCTAGAACCGGAACTTTAAGTTCCGGTGTTTCTACAGATTTTGGTGATACATAACTATAAAATTGCATCTAAATAAATGCAATAATAAGATCACCTTGAAATAATCGAAAGTGCAGAGCCGCAAAGGGCAAGACTTAGGGCCGTCTCGCAGGGGTGGCTGAACTCGGTAGGGCGCGAATGTAGGTCAGTTTTTGTTTCGCGCCATCCGAAATTCGGTTACTAGGTTCGTTCATGCGATTGGGAACACCCATCGATAGAGCCCTCAAATAAGAGCAGTTATCTAGATTTTTTTAAAAATAATTTAAAAGCCCTTTTTAGCAACTTTTTTTTTATTCTTCATTAATGTTCGAAAATACTTTAAATATCTAAAAATATTCTTAAAACGCCTGTTTGTTTTAAATAACACATTAGATATTTTTGGACGAAAAAAATATATATTAAATTATTATATTGTAAAAGAATTAAGTAGGTATTTATAACTATTCGTGAGTAATAATTTACTTGTTTTAATAACAGTAATAAGTAATTGTATTATTACAGCTTTTAACCATATTCCTATAATGTTATAAATAAACAACACCTACATTACTTTAGTTGTCGGGTATTTTGTTTATTGCCGCGCTTCTCGCCACGAGATGGCGGTATGTGTCGCTAAACGCGAAATAATTTCCATTTTCGAGGGATTTTCCTCATTAAATATGAATTTAAATTTATATTAAAATCATTAAAAGTGTTTTTATACTCAATATTTAATTTCCATATAGTATTTTTGTAAATAAAGTGAAAAATCTCACACTCTATCCAACGTATTCTAAGAAGGCAGGCTCCTCTTCACAAGTCAAGTAGTAGGTATGTATTATGAAGGTAGAATTTTAGTGACGTTTTATTTTAAGACTGAGAATGACAAGAAAAAATAATTTTGAAAATAAGTAGTAATATGTAAATATTTTAGCTCAGGTGTAGTTTTGGGTTCGATTATGGTACCTATAGGGCAAATAATTATAATGTTATTTTATTGGCCTTATTTATATTTGGCTAACTTTATATTAAATAGAGCAAAGCAAAAGCTACAGATATTCCACCTGAACCATATAGGTATATGGGCTAATACTATTTTATATTATTATTAACTCAATGCAAAGTATTATGTCAATTCCTTGTTCCCTTTCTGCATGATAGAATTACAAACTAAATTATCTTTTACATTTTTTGTTATTATAAAAGAAAGGGTTAAGTGTGAGATGTTACACTCCATAATTAGAAAACATGGGGCGAAAGACGACAAAAATTGGCGCCTAGTTTTTATATTTGCTTTTATTATTTGGATGTATCTACCTACAGTTTACCTACATATAATTTTGTTAAAGCAATCACTTTTCGATTAAGTCGTATAAAACAACTATAAGTGTTTCGCTCTTGAAAAAGAAATTTTGATTCTTATTATTATTTTATTAGCGACTCACCCTCGATCCGGTTTAGTTCATCCCTAGTTACGTTTTAATGTTTAGTATAGATGTCTCAGAGATGAGATATTTTCTAGCAGTAAAAAGTATCCTAAATGTTGACCCGGATAATAAGCTGTCTTCATAGCACATCAAAATCTGTCTAGGGGTTTTCTCGTGATGCGTTCCCAGAGGGACAGAAAGACTGAAAAAAATTAAAAATTATAGAATAAGCCTCTGTATCGATGACAATGGCTATTTCAATAAGATTTTCCAAAAAATATTTAATATACAGATTCGGCTCAGTTAGAATTTTAATATATAAATAGACTACAGTTGTACAAATAAATAGAATACCTAAAGCAATAAAACGTTAGCCATTATCTAAATTGTAATAGTAACATGACGAAAGTTCGAGAGAACAAAGAAATTAAATCGTGACAAATTCTCGTTCGTCTTACTCAATAATAAAATTGCAGTACAGGCCATTGCGGTGCAAATAAATAGCGGTTTCGGTTCAATTAACCCCCTTTTTTATACGGACTGTGAATTAGTCTAAAATATTGAATAATACTTGTCATAACACTTGTTAGATTAAGAATACTTTCTATGTTATACCTCACTTAAGTTGGCGAAAAAAATCCGTTTTTTTCCTGTCTCGTATAAACAAATATGTTATTTTTTGATGTTTTAGAAATCGTCTTTAAAGATTAGCTCGAAAGTATTTTTATAGGGGTCACTCAAGATTTTTAAAAATTCGCTAGGAAACATCAAAATGTTCATATAGGTAAGTACTTTTAAAAATCCATATTTTAAGTAACTTAACTTTGACGATTTATTTCTCTATTTGAGATATCTCTATTTTTTTCAATATTAAATTTTACTGCATCGAGAAAAAATAATAATTAAAAAAGGAATGAATCTTGACCATTCTTGAAATTTTTAAAAATCTTGAGCGACCCCTAATTGTTTTTTTGAGTAGATCTTTAAAGAGGACTCTTAAAACATGAAAAACTAACATATTTTCATACGAGAGACGAAAAAAAGTTGTTTTTTTTCCACACTCTAATACCTACTTATACAGGTAGGTATGTACCTACTTAGGTACAAAGCTATCCAAGTTTAGGTACTAGGTACTTACCTAGTACCTAAATTTAGATGTACAATAATGTAGAATAATGGTTTTTATGCTATTATACCAGAACTTACGACATTAATATTGAATAGTGACATTGTGCTTGACTACTACCACAATTGCAATTTGTATTAGTGCTAAGTACACTTAGGTTTTTTCTACATTTAAAAGTTGTCTGGAAGATATGGATGATTTAGCGATTAGATAGCCTCTTGTACATTTCCAAAAACGATTATCAATTATACGGTATGAACGGAAAGTTAAAAACTTATCTAATAGTATGTGAGGTATTCTCTAGTTTCACCAAAAAGAATGTAACATTTTGATAGTCATTATTGTTTTGGTTAATTCATTAGACCATATTGACTGATGCCTATTGTCTGATAAAATCTCTTCTATGAAGAAAATTATAAATATATTTCTTTCCAAATCAACCATGAAAATTTTAACACTGTAAAGCAACAGTCTCGCCATACTAATTAATTCTATTGAAATAAAAAAATAAAATAAAAAGAACCCTTTCAATAAAAATGTATTCCTAATTAACTTTTATAGAATTTTTCATAAGGAAGCTAATAAATCATTTGGAAATTAATAATTAATAGCGACACTCGGACGGAATCAAACGAACGGAATTTGCATAAGAAGGGATGTTTGCACCCCCGCTCTTGCTTTTTATTTTTATTATACAATACTGTAAAAAAAACTGGATATGTCTATTGCTTTTTAGTATAAAAAACTCTTTTTTATAACATGTTTAATATGTTTCAATTATAGCGTTACTTTTATGGAATGTTACAATAATATAGGTCATACATCAGAAGAACATATAGGTTATTTTTTATCCCGGAAAAAATGTACGGGTACCGTGGGATAGATTTGTTTTTGTCTTTCTAGTAAAACACACACACACACACACACACACATATATATATATATATATATATATATATATATATATATAGTGTATTTGTCAAGACTGACAAATCTTCTTGGCAGATCTGAAAAATATTTATCTTTCTTTCAAAAGTGCCTATAATAAGTCTTATTGAATAAAGTTTAATTTCATTTCAATTTCATTTCATGACAGACCGTATTTAATGCCAATATATTAAAAGAGTAAAAAATATAAAATAGTATACTAAAAGAACCTCATAGGTATATTAACCTAAAAAAATTTTTTTTTATCAGTAATTGAAAAAAATAACGTAGGTAAGTGTAATGTCCATATTATGTTATTAAAATCCTTCAATGTTATCGAAGGGTATCTAGTCTACAGCTGTCAGGGACATCACTTTCTAATGTCTGCTGTTGACTTTTTATTTTCATTGTTATAAGTAGGCACCGACTAAGTTTTGGCCCACGGCTTCGATTGAAATAATATTATGAGTTAATATATAATGTAAACTATCTTCATTTCGAATTTCACCTCTGTTGAGTAGTTACAGCTTGAAGTGAACAAACATACTCAATAACAAACCTTAAAAGTTGAGTATCAAATATTCTATATATACCTACCTATGATTTTATGTGTTTTTCATATTTGTTGACCATATTAGTGTTTACATATGAAAAATGAAAAAACATCCTCCTTTTTATTAATCATAACTCAATTTTGACATCAAATAAAAGATAATTACTACATATTATAACAACTGAGCAAAAATAGTGCTTTTTTATCATTTATAAAACGTTTTTAATTTTACTTTTAAGTCAAAATATAAATATCCATATTCAGCTGCGATAGCGACTCGAGCTGTGATGACGCGTCAATAAAAAATAATTTAAACACTGAATTAACATGACGCGTCGTAATAAAGTCTTCAGGCTTCATAAATTATTAATGTTGAACTACATTTTTGTACCAGAAGCCGGTCGCGGCGCTTTGATCGAGTTGTATGGGGTATAGTATAGGAGATCGCGTTGTTTAGTCTTACTTACCAAAAACTATATACTTACAAAATATTTACATTGTCCCCCTGTCTATACATAGACCTGTATACATAGACCATACAAGTATGAATGGCTACTTGCTGCTTACTTTATATACTTTTCTCCTAGTGCGTTCTTATCTAAAGACATCTAATAAATTGTAACTAAGCCGAATCTGTACATTAAATATTTTTGGAAAATCTTATTGACATAGACATTATTATCGATACAGACGCCGAATCTATAATTTTTAGAGTTTTTGTGTCTGTCTGTCTGTCTGTCTGTTACCGCATCATGGAATAACCACTGAAGGGATTTTGATGAAATTTGGTATGATGATGATTGAAAAGAAGGG